TTTTAATTTTATATTTAGTACATGGTCTCAGGTCAAAACTAAATCCAACTACAGTATGGACAAAAGTTTTTAAATAACCCCACCCACAGTATCGGAAGAGAATAAGGATATCATAGTTGTAAAGTAGCTGGTCCTCATCCAATTTCAGATGATGACATAGCTATGTACTCACAATTTGACAGATGATTATTTTATTGTGTGTTATATATGACTATTTGATTATGTGTTCACCACTTTCTGTGCTCAGTGGTTTGTGTGTTTTATCCCACGAGTGTGTTATAATAATAATATTGATAGTTAATAGTTAATGCTATGACCTACACTGCAAAAACGATGGTGGGTTATACCCACCATATCTGTGGAATGTACCCACTTTTTGGTTTTCCACCAATGTGGGTGAAACCCCCTGGTGTTATATTCCCCCCTTTGGTGGAAAATACCCACCATCAATGTGTAATAATTACACTCATAATAATAATGTAATAATTAATCTAGTAATGCCACGCCCACTGCGCATGCGCAGTTCAGTTCCAAATTAATCCAGCTGCAAATGGCTTCCTTCTCTTTGTCCTCCATTACTGCCAGTCTACATGTGTCTATTTTTTGGCCGTTTAGCTCTTAGTTTTGCCTCTGTATTCTTTGAAATCCCCAGAAAAGTATGGTACTACTTCTGTTATGTATTTATTACGATAGTTTTGCTCATTTTATTGTAGTTATCTCATTTTCGAAGCCCGCTTCCATGTCAGCAGCTATTTCTGTGACTCTTCCTTCAGGCTGTCCCCTTAGGCTATGATTTGTGTCTAGACTGATTGAGTAAGACTTGATATTGTTGTTATAAAACTCTCATGACATGGCATGCTAATAATCAATATAAAAGTACTCTCACTCTCTGCTTTCTCTTTTCCTCTAAGACTACCAATAGCTGTGTTCAAAATGGATCGCGTCCATACAAGACTGGCTTATTGATTTTGTTTTGATGTGGTAAGAATTTTATTAGTTGCATGCTTAAAAATTCATCTCCCTTTTATTTCTCTTCTGCGGCTTCTTTTTTCTCGTTGCCTCCTCCTTTCTCTCTCCTCTGCTTTCTCCGTCGCCACCCACTACCTCAGTATAGGTTTTAGCTTCTTTTCAAGTGAATTGTATCTGATTACATCATTTTTTTGATATGGTAAGCATTGTATTAATTGCTTGAAATTTTATCTCTTTCTTCCTCTTCTATCTCTCCTCCTCTCTCTGTCTCCTCCTTTCTCTGTCTCCTCATTTCTCTGTCTCTGTCCTATACCTG